TATCTAAGAAAAGATCGACTTGATGTCAATCTATAAAACGGATTGGAGGTATTTATCTAACAAAATAGTTTTAAATACAAAGAAACATTTGTTTGAAACACAATTGTAAATGAGTTTGAATTGAAACATACAGTGTATAATGAACAATTAAATCAGGAGTTTTAAACATATAAAACATATATGAAAATCCGTTGAATAACAACTGTTTGGTAAAAGAGCTAATGTGTAGTAAATCATTTGAATGTTGCTTATTAATAACATGTGATTTGATATAATAACTAGCATGATTCTACTTGTATCCCCCCCCCCCCCATAAAACATTTAAAAAACATCTAAAACATTGATTAAGGGGTATGTACTCACCTGTTGCGAGTGGATCGAAAGGAAGTGTCGGATAAGTGCTTGGTGTCAAGTGAAGACTTAGACACGCACAAAGATCCTAGTTACATATGAGGACATATGTATATAAATAATTAGCCTTTAAACAACTAATAAACAAGTCAAGACACTCTAGGACATGACAAACACTTTGTATAAGTGTTATAAGTGCTAAGGAGTGCATCTAAGTGTTGTAGGGAAAGGCTAGTGTGTTTGGGGTTCAAGGGTAAACTCCCTTGGAGTTTACGGTTTTCATGACCATTACCCAAGGAGTTTACGGCAGTAAACTCAAGGGTTTATGGTCGTAAACTCTACAATTTATGACCATTTGTTGTTTTGAAGACTAATAAGCTATTCCAAGCATTCCTACTTCATGATTTCGCCTTAGGATGTGGTGTGTGGCATCAAAACACTCCTAAATGGAGTTTACGATCTAAGGACCATTTCTCCATGAGTTTACTACCTTAAACTCATGATTTTACTACCTTAAACTCCTAAGTTTGGTATTTGGCGGTTTCCAAGTCCTTAGCTCAAACATGGCACTAGCCTAGGTTAGATTCTAGCCATAAGGAACAACCATGGGCCATTTATGGGACATTTACACAACATTTGAGGTGTTTACGGTTTTGGGAGATCCACAAACCATAAACACATAAAAATATATGATTTTGATGCTTTTTGTATGAAACACCCATCAACGATGGATCTAGACAAGTCCCTAAGGCATTGTGAAGCATCTAGACACCCTAAAGCACCCTAAGGCACTATATTTGGTGTTTACGGTTTTGGGAGCCTCCCAAAACCGTGAACACCTTGTTCTTGGTGTTCTTGGGACTTTTCCTTAGTATAAACATGTATAGCAAGCTTAAAATGACTCTAGGATAGAAGTACTTACATAGAGGAAGCTTGAAATGAACTTTAAATCCAAGAACACTTAGTGTGTGTGTTCTTGGTGTTCTTGGTGTTTTTGGAAACTAATCAAAACACAAAAATGGTTGGATTAAAGGATGTAAAATCACTAGATTAAGTTATATACTAACTTGAAAGGGCTAGAAACACTTACTAGATTGAAGATTTTGAATAAAAACTTGGATGATACTTGAGAGGATATTTTGGAGTTTACTCTTTTGGTAAATGGGGAGTAAACACAAAATGACTAGTTTTTGGGGAGTAAACTCATGCTTAAGGCATGAGTTTACGTTTTTGGATGATTTTTCGACCCAAACCTAAAAGTTTGGTCATGAACTTCTAAGACAAGAGGTGTTTGCGGTTTTTAAAATTCAAAACCCAAGACGACACTTTCTTTCACCCGTTCGCTTAAAAATAATATTAAAATAATCAAACGAACTATAAATTTCTTAAAAATAAGAAATAATGACATTAACTTATGACAAGAGGTGGTTGACTTTTAGGTTTGACCGAATGAAAATTCCGAGTTATCACAAGAAGTAGGTAGGGGTTTGATTTTATTGAGAGAGAGAGAGAGAAAAAAAAAAAAGAGAAAGAGAGAGAGAGAGAGAGAGAGAGAGAGAGAGGTGGGCCCAGTTTTATATTTAATAATAATAATTTTAAAAAGTGAAAGAAAAATGAAAATTAAATTCATTAAGGGTATACTAGTCTTTTTAGTTTGGACAGGGACCAAAACTGCATGTAAACTAGCTCAAAAGGACCATCAATCCAAAAAAAAATCGTGATTTGGACTAAAACCCCAAAAAAATGCATACTACAGGGACCATTGTTGCAATTTTCTCTTTTGCATATAAAAAAATTTAATATATATATATATATATATATATATAGAGAGAGAGAGAGAGTAGTTTTTTATGTGAAAACACGTTTGAATATAAATATAATTTTTAGAAAGCAAAAAAACATATTCGAAACAAAATTATATATATATATATATATATATATATATATATATATATATATATATGTGTGTGTGTGTGTGTGTGTGTGTGTAAAAAAAACTAAATTTATGATGAATTTGTAAAAACTTTTGAAATCTTGACCAAAAGTATAAATTTTGGACCAGATTTATAATAAAACTTAAAATCTGAGCCAAAAGTATAGATTTTAGATCAAATTTATAATAGAATTTAGACAAAACTGCAAAATTGGTCCTTGTGGTTTGCAAAAAACTTTTGATAGGGTCTAAAAAGATTTCAACTTGCATGGAAGGTCCAAAATAAAAATAAATAAATAAATAAATAAATAAAAATTGGTTTTAGTCCTTGAAAATTTGAAAGGACTATTTTGCCCTTATTATTTATTTTTTAGATTTTTCTTATTTGTTTTAATTGTTTTATTATTAAAAGGAAAGCAAAAGAAAAAAAAAAACAAGGCAAGTCCACACCACCCGATTTCTCTCTCTCTCTCTCTCTCATCAGGTCGTCTTCCTCAACCCCGGTTCACTTCCTTCCAATTTGTCCGATCAATATCATAGTCCTATTTTGGAGGTTAGTTTCATATTTAATTCGGAACAAGAACTGAAATTTACTACCATTACTACCATTCAAAACTCACCCTCCCCTGTTTGAATCTTAAATTTACAAGCCCTAAATTTACAATATCCATGGTAGTCAAGCCCAAACTGTGTTGGAATTCTTCTCTGGATTCGACGAGACGTGGTGGTGGAGACGATATGATTGTGGGTGCGTGAACTGCCCGGGTCGACAGTGATAAGAACATGACTCTCTAAAAAAAACTGTACAAATTTACAATTTTAACACTAACCTTCAATGAGAACCAAGACCCATCCTAGACGACCCCGATACCCTACGATCAAAAGTTGCTTCGAACACCGATAACCATCTATTAACGGCCGATTTCTTTTCTATTGACCCTATCGGACTTGGGCAAGGGCTAGGGTTACAACTTGGGCTCTAAATCAGAGCTGGAATCACAGATTCGATCTTAGTCGATCTCAGAGAAGAAACTCGAGGTGAAGAAACACGAGGGGAAGAAGCGTAAGGTGAACATATTGAAAATTTATCACGGAGTGAAGATTTGTGATATTGTGTCTCTGATTTGTGGAAGATGCAACAAGATGGGTTGAAGATGAAGGGTGGGGAAGACGATATGAATAGAAAAGGTTATGTGTGTATGTACATATATATATATATATATATATATATATATATATATATATGTGTGTGTGTGTGTGTGTGTGTGTGAGAGAGAGAGAGAGAGATCAGGTGGGGGTGGACCCGTCCTATTTTTCTTTTATTTTGCTTTCTTGTTAATAATAAATCAATTAAAACAAATAAAGAAAATGTTAAAAATAAATAATAATGGTAAAATAATCCTTTTAAATTTTCAAGGACCAAAACCAAAAAAAATTTATGATTTTGGACCTTATATGCAAGTTGAAATTTTTTTGAATCTCATCCAAAGTTTTTTGCATACCACAAGGACCAATTTTACAGTTTTGTTTAGAATTTAAAATTTGGATCAAAAATATAATTTTTGAAAGTTAAATGAACTGTTGACCATGTAAAAGGGTCGACATGAATATAATTTTAGGTTTTTTGAACTTAATTGACTAAAAAAGGATAATGATTATTTTTTTAACAACAAATATAATCTACTTCTAAATTACTTCTGAAATTCATCTATATCGAAAATACAAATTGAACCCTCGACCTCAAAGAGAGAGGACAACACCTGATATGGCTGGGCTAGAAGCTTTTTTTAGGAGATTTCCTCAAAAAAATCAAACTGCTAGTTTACATTCGCCCACATTGCTAGTGACTGGGAATCGAATAATTTCTAGATCCAAACGATATCAACCTATTCTATGCCAATGCACATAATTTAAAGAAGAAAAAACATACTTAAATACGTCTATTTTCTTTTTCAAACATTACCCTGAGTTGAGAGTCTTCTTCAATGGATTGCGAAATGCACATAGTGAAAACATCAAAATTTGACAACCATAAAATCAATATATTTTCGTTCATTTCAAATTCAATGCTGAACAGCCTAAATTATTAATCAAATCAAATAAGAGACCAAATCATTTAATATAAACTATTAATTTGAGGATCATTTCTTATATTTAATTATACATTTATAACAAAATCCACTAGATATCAAGTTTGAAAAAATATTTTTAAATAAATATTAACTTTCCGTTATATTTAATTATACATTTATAACAAAATCCACAAGATATCAAGTTTGAAAAAATATTTTTTTTTAAAATAAACATTAATTAAAATTATGTTTTTTACATTATGATTTACTGGTTTACTCTTCAATAAAAAAAGTTAAAAAAACAATTAATTTGGAAAGAAAAAAGCTTACCGAAAAAGAAATTGTTTGTAAACTTTATTCTGTAAATAGAAAGCATAATAAATTTTGTTTTTAGTTTTAGAAAAAAAGAAAAAAGAAAAAAGAAAACTAGCTGGTTGTATAAATAGAAAGCATAATAAATTCAATAGCCATGGCCATGAACTCAACGAAGACTCCGTTCTGCTTCTCGTTTTAGAGAGAGAAACTCCACCCTTCAAATTTCAATCAACTTCAACAACACAATTCAAAATTCAAGGAGGTTTGGGACTTCAGAAATTCATAACATTACTGAAAACTTCATTCAGAAAACCCTAATCACGTATGTAATGCATCACAAGAAATCGGAGGTTCAGATCGGAAAAGATAGCAGCGGTGTCTCTTCCGATTTCAATCCGACCCCAACGATTCAGAATCAATCTCCTCATAAAATCTCCATTTTCGAATTGAATCAACATTCTTCTGGTTCTTCACTCTGTTCTTCGTCTTCATTATTATCGACACAGTCGCCTGATAATGATGTTACCACGACAACCACAAGTACCAGCCCTAATCATGAACATCAAATCTTGATCGACGACGGTGATTTTGATTATGATTCACTTGCCGGACCGACTCCTAGATCAACACCTCACAAACGGTCTGTTTTCTCCCAAACCACACCAACTTCCTTTTCAAATTCCCTAGCGAAATCACCTAACTTCTCCTTTTCGTCTAAAAACCGGCGGTTTTACAACACAAAATCCACCGTCATCCACCTCCTCAACCGTCTCCGTCACCTCCGACGCCTCCGTACTCACCTCCGTTTAATCCTCTTACTATCTCTCCCGTTTTTCTACTTCTTGGTATCTCACCCTAGTCATTCCTTCTTCCTCGATTTCCTATCGGCATTCGCTTTCTCAGCTGCGTTATTATTCTCCCTCAATCTCGCCCTCCCTCGCCTCCCTTCAATCCGATTGTTTCTTGCCAGATCTTTCCCAATCAAACTCACATTATCAGACAAGGTCTCCAAATCACCATTGCCGGTGTTCTGGTCAATCGGTTCCAATTCCAAAACAAAAGGCGATCATATTCATAAATGGAATTCAGGTTGTTGGGTGCAGGCATACAACAATGGTGATGTATACGAGGGTGAGTTTCACAAAGGCAAGTGCTCTGGTTGTGGCGTTTACTACTATTACATGAGTGGGAGATACGAAGGCGATTGGGTTGATGGAAAGTACGATGGTTATGGTGTAGAGACATGGGCAAGGGGAAGCCGGTATAGGGGTCAGTACAGGCAAGGATTGAGACATGGATTTGGTGTGTATAGATTCTACACCGGAGATGTTTATTCCGGTGAATGGTCAAACGGTCAAAGCCATGGATGTGGAATCCATACTTGTGAAGATGGTAGTAGATATGTCGGAGAATTCAAATGGGGTGTTAAACATGGTCTTGGCCACTACCATTTCAGGTAAGATAACAACTCCACAAACCTTCTAATTTCTATCACTTCTTGATCTTGTTTTATATCAAAATTTTGACAAACGAGGACAAGATCATAGTTTCTTTTGATATTGATTACAGGAATGGGGATACATACGCTGGAGAATACTTTGCAGATTTTCTGCATGGATTTGGAGTATACAATTTTGCAAACGGGCATAGATATGAAGGATCTTGGCATGAAGGAAGAAGACAAGGGCTTGGTATGTACACTTTCAAAAATGGTGAAACCCAATCTGGGCATTGGCAAAATGGTATTCTTAATATCCCAAGTTCACATTCCGCAACACAATCGCATCCATCATCACCTTCAACTGTTGCAGTCTATCATTCTAGAGTTCTTAATGCAGTCCAGGAAGCAAGAAGATCAGCAGAGAAAGCATATGATGTAGGGAAAGTGGATGAAAGAGTTAACAGGGTGGTGGCTGCCGCCAATAGATCAGCTAATGCCGCTAGAGTGGCAGCGGTGAAGGCAGTACAGAAAAACCTGCCTAACCAGAGTGATGGTGATGGTGATGGTCATCCTAAGATCTATCAACTGTCAAACTAACTGTTTTTTGAGACCAATTTTGTTCGTGGATATATTGAGATTTTTGACTTTTTCTTTTTTTGTTTAGTTTTGTAGATCAGTGTTAGATTTTAGGGAAAACGTTTGAAACCTATGTGGCAATGTATGTGTATTAACAACTATACTAATGAAATCAAGATCAAAAATCTATTTGAGATGTGGTTTGATTAATGTATAGCAACAAACTTTCACTAAAATGTCTAATAGTATAATGCACGAAGGAATAAAAGTACCATGCTTTTTCTTGCATTTAGCGCCTAAACAAGATTTAAAGAAACATAATAAAAAATATTTAGAACATACATGTCAACATACCATTCAAACTTTAAGATTGCATTTAGCAATGTATTTTTTTAATAGAAAACAAAATTGCAAAAATCTTGTGAAATGTGATAGAAAATCGAGGATTAAAGTAGATCAAGAAACATCCAAATCTAACTCTCGGTTTGTTCCCTCAGCCTACGGATGGTACTCCTGACAGTAACCGCACTAGCAGTGCTGCAAAAAGAAAATTTTAAAAAAAAAATGTTAACACTTGTAAAATTATTAGAATAAAAATAAAAATATAAAAATTAAAATATCATTACTTCAAAGTGTAAGCACCCCCTGCTTTCACTTTGCCACAATCTTTGCAACCCCAGATACCAACTGCTTTCCTTTTCACTGCATACTGTAACACAATGCCCAAAATGAATATTGCAAAAAAATAAGAAAATTGTGTCAAGATTATATAAATATAATGGTCACATGAACAAAAAGATGTACCTTTCCACAGAATTCACAGAAGTATTTGCTGTGCTGACTAACTTCCATCTTCTTGATCTGCTTCCTCAAACTAGCACCATATCGGGTACCTAAGAAGTCAAATAATCATTAATAAAAGCATACTCGTAAATAGGTTAATTTACCATAAATGAGTAAATGAGCATGATTTTTGCACAAAAAGTTAGGCTAAATCTCAAACTAAAACAAGTTCAGATCTTGGAGATGACTGTATTTTTAACCATTAAATGAGGATATAGAAGTGATGAGTAAGCATTATCCATACCGTATTTGCCAACAATTCCAGCCTTCTTGGTTCTCTTAGTCTGTGTATAAGGATAACAAAAGTATTGTTAATACATGAGCATAAAAGAATACAACAAGAAAAGAGGTAGAAAAAGAAAGAACAGTTTTAGAAGAAAAAAAAACTAGGTAAACAGTAGAAAGAAAGAAGTCAAGCTAGCATTATAGTGAACAACAAAAGCAATTACATTACACCCCTAATTAACTGATTATAATTAAGGGTGCAGTATACAAAGTTCCTTCTGTAACTTCCTCCAAGCTCTATTCACATGCTTTAAAGTTTAAACTCTGAGAACAAGTTCTTCGAGCAAGCTAATTTGTTAGATCAAATCACCTAATTCTCAAAAACACTAATGAACAACAAAAATTTTATTCTCTAAGTTCAAAACTGATTGAAATTTTAAGTCCTAAATTTACATTAAAAACTAACCATGATTCCTGATGAGGAAAAAAAACAAAAACAAAAAAATCTACGCTTGTTGAAGGTAAAGTTTGGAAAATCGTTTTAGCTACCACTCTTTGTTCTGTTTGTATTTTCAAAAAAAAAACTTTCAGCCCTAAAATTCAACGACTTCCAGAAACCTAACTACTGATATTAACAATCTTAATAATCAAATGTCGGCATCTTTTAACGAAAAAACACTAATACATGATATTAAAAACCACATAACGAGCAATTCAAGCAATCAATTAGTAAAAATGTACAAATACAACATAGCATTATACATAAATCTTAACATACAAAGAGATCTAGTATCTAAGGATTACCATGGCTTGACGCTTGGTGAAATCGAATAAGAGGGGATTCTTGAGATTGGAAGCGCCAACAAAAACCCTAGACTTTAACTCGGCCGATTGCGATATGAGAAGTTTATATGGAACGTTGACTCGATTTTTAGGGCTTATCCTAAGACTCCAAAAGAACAAAAAAAGGCTCCGCCTTAACAAGAGCCCAAACTTTAAAGGCCCGCATATTTACATGTTGTTTATTCAATTCTGAGTTCTTAAATTTTCAAATTCTGAAAATGCTTATACACTTTTATGTCATTTTTTCTTTCTGTACACAAGATTTATATATATATATATATATATATATATATATATATATATATATATATATATATATATATATATATATGTGTGTGTGCTATGACTCGTCTCCGTGATACAATTCCGGGATTTGACAGTAGCGGTTTCACTAATAAGGACACCGCCCCCCTAAATCCCAAAACGTTTTGGCGTGTGCCCTTTTTAGCAAAATCGTCCAAGATATGGAAGTCAACTTCGAGATGACTGTCAGACAGAAAGCAGTCTTTGAGTATTTGCGGGCGCCTCATGCTCAAGATTTTCTGCCAACTATCCCTATTGATGGTCTTGGCCAGCATATGTCTCCTGTGGAGTACCGAACTATCATTCGTTACCGCCTCATGATTCTCATATTCCCAATTGACGAGATATGCCCAGTTTGTCGCAAGGCATGTTTGGATACCTTTGGGGAACACGCGGCTCATTGTAGAGAGCTCCCTGGTTTCAAATATAGACATGATGTGGTTCGGGATGTTCTCTTTGATGCTTGTCGGCGTGCTGGTATATCTGTGAAGAAAGAAGCGCCAGTAAATTTTTTGACGGACCCGCAGGATGGCAGGTCCACACTTAGACCAGCTGACATTTTGGTCTTTGGATGGATAGGAGGGAAGCATGTGTGTGTGGATCTTACTGGTGTATCTCCTCTCGTTGGTTTGGGGAGCGGAGGTTTCGCAACTGGGCATGCCGCTTTGAAAGTCGCTGCGTGCAAAGTGGTAAAGCACGACAATGCATGTAGAGAAAATCAACATGTGTTTGTTCCTTTTGCATTCGATACATTTGGTTTTCTCGCACCAGAGGCGGTGGAGCTCCTCAACAGAGTCTAACGGGTCATGCATTCTAATGTCATATCTCCTATATCCACAAATGTTGTTTTCAAAAGAATAGGTTTTGTCATCCAAAAAGGGCTAGCGGCGCAGCTTGTTGTCTGTTTGCCTTCAATCGATATGTATTGATATTAAAGATAATTAGATTGTTATCATTTATATATATATATATATATATATATATATATATATATATATATATATATATTCTACTAGATGTGTTATCGTGCAAATTGACGGTGATAAATAGTTTTTTTGGCGAATAGTTTCCTACGAAGAAATAATTATTAAATTTTATTTGAGTTATTATGTAATAAAAAATTATAACTTTTATATAAAATATTTATGTTTATATTGTCTGTTTATACTATTAATGTAAATCAATTAATATCGGTGTTTAATTTAAAAAACATAATTTAAATTATAGTTTATACACATGAATTTTATATTTTATAATCTTCATTATGCTCCAAATTGAATATTTTAATTACTTTGTTTAATTCAATTCTTCAAACTTTTGGCAAGTATTAATTAATTATTTATGTAAAATTAATTTGTACAAAAAGTTTCGTATCTTATACCTCTTAAAATTCTAGGTATGACTAATATGTTTTATAATATAGTATAAGATACATAAAGATTAGTAGCTCATTATTACTTCTAGTCATTAGAAAGATTATTTTATAGTTATAAAAACAATAATTTTTTTAATTAAATGAGTTTTTCATTTAGTGAAATCCAATCCAATAATAAAGAAACAACATTTTTAACAAAAAAAACTATTTTTCCTTGCCAAAAGTTATTACAAGGTGTAATAGATTTAACAATTAGATTATTGGATGCAAAATTATGAATTAATATTGTCTACTTTGTGAATTATTTATTTAACTAATTTACTCAAATTTTTATACTCACTAAAGGCGTGTTTGGAAGTGTTTTTTAAAATAACTTATTAATTTATCGGTCTTTCAAAAAATAAATTAATTAAGAAATAAAATGTAACGCCCTGATTCTCATGTATTGATGTATGTATGGATCTTTTTGGGTTTTTGGGTCTACTCGACGAGTTTGCCGCCCTACTCGACGAGTAGTAGTGGGTTGGTCCGCGTGTTTTAGTGATCTACTCGACGAGTAGGAGCTGGCAGATGAAACCCTAAATTCCGGGGCATTTCACCCTATTTAAAGAATTATTGGCCTCCCCCAGCCCCCCTCCCCCCCCCCCTTTACTGCTTCTTGATCCTCTCAAACCCTAAATCAAGTGTGTGTGTGTGTGTGTGTGTTCTTTTGGTGTGTTCAAGCTTAGAGGGGGAGTTTTGGAGGAGGAACCACTTGGGGAAATCAAGCAAGTAGAAGCAGTGACTCGTGGGATTCAAGATCTACATCAATGGACATTCTCTTGAAGGTATTAGACTGTTTTCCTTGGCTCATGTTCATCAAAAATCTCTTTTGGATGGGTTTTATGAAAGGCTTTTTATGTTTGAGCTAAGATCTGAAGTTGTAACTTCAGATCTGGACCCCCTTTGACCTCTACATTGATAAAGTTATCAGCCTTGCCTAGTATGAGCCTTCCTTCAAGTGCGAGACTTCACTACAAGCTTAGTTTTGTCATTTAAGGGTCTTAAAGCCTTGCATGCACGTAAAGTTTGCAACTTTACGTGTTAAGCATGCCTAAGGAGGTTGGATCTGCAATCTGGAACCTTTGCATGGCTTAAAATGCATATGTATAAGAATTGAAGGGATTGGGCGAGTCGCATAGTCGACTCGGCGAGTCATATGAAGATGATCCTGAACTCGACGAGTTTGATGAACAACTTAACGTGTCTAATGAAGATTATCGAAGACTTGGCGAGTCAGTATAGTGACTCGACGAGTCGGTTAGGGTTTTTCTCAACCATTGGATACGTATGAACTTGTCGAGTTGCAAGGGGGAAACCTCGACGAGTGGTCATGGAGCTTCGACCACAAACTTTAGTAACTCGAGGAGTCAGTCTGGTGACTCAGCGAGCG